AAAATAAAAGTTTTTGTTTGCATAATATGTGTGTGTGTACTGTGTATATTTATTATGTATATATATAAATACACACATGCATGTTTATATTTCAGAATTGTTTTTGTTTATATATTAAATATATTTATTTATAATATAAATTATATGAATATAAATATAGACATAGACATTTTCAAAATATGTACTGTATGGGTGTGTATTTATATATACATAATAAATATACACAGAACACACGCATATATTATGTAAATAACAACTGTTATTTTGGATGCGATTAATCGCGATTAATCTTTTGACAGCACTAACATATTTTCCATACTCCTGTGTACACACGAGTGTTACGATCTTATCCATTAAATTTTAAACTATGTTTTTCAAGGTAAAAAGTACAGTGTTTTCCAAATCATGAATTATTCATTTGAAAATATAGTTAACATCTTTAAGTTATTTGAAATTTGAGAAGACTTACTGATCTTGACATCTTGATATCACTGCCTATTTTTAAATGCATCACATTTTATTTCAGTCAAGGTGATTATCGTATCATTTGCATATCGGGCTACATCAGCAAATTAGTTTTATTTGTAACTAATTCAGTGCAGAGTTTCATTGTTTGGTCTAGGTGTTTCTCTGATTTTATTTTGGGCGTGTATTTCTGTGGTATCATTTAGATGTCTACTATATTTCTCTGCAGGAGTCTTCTCCTGTAGCTTTATCTTCAGTATTCTGTCGCAGGCTAATCAATCTCTGCCACATTAGCTCTGAGCTGGATTAATGAAGTCACTGCTGCATTCTATCATTTAGCACCAACCAATAAAGCAAAGAGTGTGTGTCTTTACCTGTCCCACAATGCTCCGGCAATTCTGAATTATTTTATGCACAAGGTTTATTAGTTAATGGAGCTTAATAATTCATGAACGATTAATGGAATTGTACCCAGTAATTAGCATTGTGTTTGAGAAATATGAGTATGCATCTTCATTAAGTATCACAGATAGTCTTTTCATCTTAATTACGGCCTCTCGTTGTCATTTTTCACTTTCTTATTATGCAGTTTTTTGTTTCTAGATACACAAATGGCTAGCCTTGAGAAATGTGCTCATTACGGATAGCTCAGAATCCGAAGCGAAATGCTATTTGAAGGTGTAAGGAAAGACTCTGGAGGACGCTCTGAAATGGGCTCTAGCTGCATGCTTGCAGCAGCACTTAACATGATTAAGAATCAAGCCGCAATTCATATTTTTGGTCTAATATAAATAAATCGTATAATGAAGCCATAAAAGTGCCTCCATTATTTCAGCAGGGGCACGGTATCAGCGAAAGCTCCATTGATTGAAGGATCCTGCCGAGGTATTTAGTGTAAACCTCCAGACTACATTAAAGAGTCTGCGGTCGTCATTGAGAAATGTGATCCTTTGCTCCTGGCAGGTATTTAAGTGAAAAGGAGGTTAAAGTTGGGATTGACTTGGCAAATGTTCAGTTTTGCTCTATTAAGTCTAATACTCAAAGCCACTTGGAGTCATATGTTTGCTGTGGATTAATTAGTTTCTACACAGCAATGCAGTTACCGGTAGCAGCCCCTTACCGTACCGTAGTACAGTGATGGAATCAGATGCTATGGAAATGAATAATAAACATATCCATGCACCTTGTATGAAATACAAAGACTGTCATGGTATTATTATTATTTTTTTTTCCCCTTATAATTTAAACAATGTTGTGAAACCATCATGGGAGCATGTTTTGTTGTTGCCAGTGATGGTGTTAATACACTTACAAAATGGTAACCTAAAACTTTTAACATAAATTAACTGGTTACACTTTACAATAACCTTCCTTAGTTAACTTTAGATAATGCATTTAGTAGCATTAACTAACAATGAACAATACATTTGTTACAATATTTATGAATCTTTGTTAATATTAGTTAATAATTGTTAGTTTATGTTAGCTCAGATTCACTAAGTAACATCGGTAATGAGACCTTACAATAAGGTCCCATTTGTTAATATTAGTTAATGCATTAACCAACATAAACTAACAATGAACAGTATATATTTTTATAGCATTATTAATCTTTGTTAATGTTAGTTAATAAAAATTGTCATGTTCATGTTAGTTCATAGTATATTAACTAATACGAACAGACAACTTTAAATAATGTATTAACGTTTTGAAATTAATATTAACTATGATTAATAAATGATATATACATATTGTTTGTTAACTAATAGTTAATTAAAGGGTTAGTTCACGCAAAAATTACAATTCTGTCATTAATTACTCACCCTCATGTCGTTCTAAACCCGTAAGACCTCCGTTCATCTTCGGAACACAAATTAAGATATTTTTGATGAATTGTGAGAGCTCTCTGACCCTCCCATAGAAATTAATATTAACTATGATTAATAAATGATATATACATATTGTTTATGTTAACTAATAGTTAATTAAAGGGTTAGTTCACGCAAAAATTACAATTCTGTGATTAATTACTCACCCTCATGTCGTTCTAAACCCGTAAGACCTCCGTTCATCTTCGGAACACAAATTAAGATATTTTTGATGAATTGTGAGAGCTCTCTGACCCTCCCATAGACAGCAATGAAACTACCACGTTCAAGGTCCAGAAACTTAGCAAGGAGATCGGTAAAATAATCCATGTGACATCAGGGGTTCAACCGTAATTTTACGAAGCTACGATAATACTTTTTGTACGCAAAGAAAACAAAAATAACGACTTTATTCAACAATGCGTCTCCTCCGCGTCACCTTGGCGCCATTTTGGAAAATATCTACTTAACGTATACAGCGTATGCTATTCTGTGTCAGCTGCGTCACGCGGATACGTCTTCTACGTTGTTTACACTTTGATTTGAACGAAAACAACGTATCCGTGTAACATATACCCAAAACTAATTTATGGGTATATTATAGGTTAAAACAGGTAGAAATAGCTCTTTTAAGGTAACAATTGAAGGTTACCTCTTTTTACACTGTAGTTTTAATTTAATAGCATTATCCATTTGGTAATAATTATAAATGACCTTTTTATTTATTTAAATTTTTTATAAAGCATTTGTTTTTGTGATACTCCATACTGAAAGCAAGTGTCATGCTATTTGCACAATGTAATTGTTGTTTGTAAAACAGGTTTCCAGATCACTCCTGTCTGCCATTGGTCATCAAACATATTAGCCCCACCCCAAATTGATGCCATTGGTTGAGTCAATGTTGCTGTGTTGGGATGTTCAAACTAATGATTTTGACAGCATTAGAGTGTTTATAAAGTTGGTATACAATACAAGTATTTTAAAATAAAAAGTGCACACATTTCATGAGAGTGAATATTTCCTGCACCTGTGGTTGTTTGGTGTGGCTAGTATAGTCAGTCACATCCGCAGTCGGCTCTCTCTTCTCCCCGCCGAGCCTCAAGGGCGTGTGTCATAATAGCCACATCGCTCCTTACGCTGGGATTCATAGGCCCTCTTTTTCCAGTTGTATTATCTTAATTGTCCTGGCAAGTATGTTCGGTGGTTATATTACCAATTTATTGCCCCTCTTGCCACCCCATTAATCCAGCCGTTAAAATACTGTAACCATTGGGTCTGCATAAAGCTGTCCCTGTGTTGCCAGTGGCTGTGTAAATGCCATTGACTGTGTTGGAGAGTTATTTTTTTCTCTCCCTGGCCTAGCTGATTCTCTGCTTTTGCACAATTGGAGCCATTACTCTAGGGCTGACATTTTATCTTCTTTTTGGTTCTGAGCTTTTTATTGGCCACTGTCTCCCTGAGTGCCATTTGTCCCATAGGGCCAAACAATCTCAAACAAGATCTTTTATATTGTAGTTGTTTCTAGACGGCAGTGAAAGTAAATGGAGAGTTTTGCTTAAAGTTAACATGAATACTCTGTGCTCAACCATTTTTCTTCTGTAATCTGATGTATGTCCAAGTTAAACAGGACAGAGAGAACATTTCAGAGAGGACCTGATGTTAACCATCGGCAATTAATTTAATCATGAAAAGGGGTTTTGACAAATGGTTGTAGAGGAGGATTTGAAAAATAAAAGGTCTTGGTGAGGAAAGTCATTTCAGAGGCAGTGCAATAATCCTATTAATTTCATAGGCATGTCCTCTAGAATGTTAGGAGAGTTTGAAATTGTGCTCAGATTTTCAATTTCAATTTTCAATTTCAATTTCAATATAACCACACAATTTTCATCAAATTATTCGAAAGCTATATGCTGTACACATTCATTTCATAGCTCTACATCCTTACCTTATCATACATTTTCTTACATTTGTTTCTAATTGTATTTCTTTTAAGGAAAAGTTTTATTTTAATAAAAAAGACAACTGAAAAACTCTGCTGAACTAAACTGCCCATATATTTAGCTATGGCTTTAGACTTTTTACATAAAACATGTGCCTTTGAAATTTCATGGCATTGCAAGTGTCTAGATAAAATATTGTTTTTGCTATTAATGCATCAATCAGCCAGAAGAAGCTAGCTGACAAGGCCGGGAAAAATGTAAATGGATCGGTTCTCGGTGTGTGTGGCATTAATGGATGTGCGTTCATGGCTCATGTGCTTCAAAGGAAATGCTTGCAGTTATGTCACATGAAGAAATTAGCGCTGGTGCCGTCAGTGCCAGCTCTGTGGTAGAGCTCTGTGTAATGCTAACAGGCTAACGGCATGTCATATGTCAGAGGTTAAAGGTTTAACACTGATCCTGTTACAGACTTTGGCAGCGAGCCTTTATGTGCCACATATGATACTGATGACTAAGAGAGTGCTTGCTAAACGCCTGATCTCCCTCACCTGCTCCTACCAATAAATACTGATGAATAACAGCCATGATATCATATTTGCTGACATTGTTACCTTTAAGAGGATAACACATCATTTTTTTGTGCACTGCAGTATCATTTAATCACTTGGTTCATGCAATCTAGCCTCCAGAGAGATGGACGGACAGCTTTGAATCAAGAAATACATGACATATGTATGTAGTATATATATATGTGTGTGTGTGTGTGTGTGTGTGTGTGTGGCTTCTTTGAAAATTTTAACTTTTAAAATTAATTTGTTACACCGTAGGTCCATTTAAGTGAACTGCAACAAGCAAAAAAGTGGTGAGGAAAATAGATAGATAGACAGATAGATAGATAGATAAATTACTACTTGCAACTTATAAATAACGTCAGTTTATATACACACATGATCCTTCAGAAATTATTTTAACATGCTAACTTGGTGCTCAGTTATTAAGTTGGCTTGAGAAAGCCAACTTACTGAAATGCTATTTAAACTTATTATTATTATTATTATTATTATTATTATTATTATTATTACTTCAAACTATTTCAGACTGAAAACCATCAAACTTAAAACTTTTTTAAACTTCTTAAAGTTTTTAAACTTTTCAAACTTTTTCAAACTTTCTGGTCCGGCTTTCTCAAGCCAACTTAAAGTTTGTCTTGACGAACTTTTTTATCTAGTTATTAATTATCGTTGGTGCTCCATTATTAATAATAGTTCTTATTATTATCAAGGTTAAAAACAGTATTTGTTGCTTAATATTTTTTTTTTTTAATTTTAAGTTACATTTTTAATTTAAGAACAGCATGTATTTGAAATATACATCTTTTACAAACATTATAAATGTCTTTACTGTCACTTGCTGAATAAAATTTCTTTCTTTCTTTCTTTCTTTACTCTTAACCCAAACATTTGAATGTTGAAAAAATAAATATTAAATGAATTAAATGAAGAAACAAAAAGCAGTAAAAGCAGTAAAAAAAACAGTAAAAACGGTTTATGGCACTGATAATAATCAGAAATGTTTATTGAGCAATAAATCAGCATATTAAAATGATTTCTGAAGGATCATGTGACTCTGAAGACTGGAGTAATCCTCGGCTTTGTCATTTCAGAAATAAATTACATTTTAGAATATATTAAAATCAAACACAGTCCTTTTAAATTAATCCAGCCACTATTATATTATATTTCACAAAAAAAAAAAAAAAAAAAAAAAGGTTTACACAGTATGCTTGATCAGATACCATTGCAGCATTAGTGAGCATAATAAATAAATAAAAATTAAAATAAAACAATTAAAAATGTATCTCTTCACTGATGGTTTATGTATGAACTTTCAAAACATGTACCTTGGATTAAAGTGTCTGCCAAATGCATATATGCAAAATAAAAATTTAGTATTGGCCATCATTTGTTAAAATAAAAACAAAAACACATTGTTTAACCTCAAATCCTGATGTTGAAAAAGAAAAATGTCCACAATGTTCTTGAACTATCCGTCTTTGAATCTGAATAAAAAGAAGAGCTGACCTGTTTAATACTAGACTCTTACTGGGCTTATCTATTTTCCATTTTCCACCTTCCATGTTTGTACAGATCCACCTTTTATGTTAATGTAACATTCATTAAATGTAATTGAATTGGAGAGCCAAGAAAAGTGGCATTACCTGCTCTTGAAAACCTAAAGGTCTGTGCGTTTGAGAGGTGCTGTGCTGATTGCCTGAAGACTGTCATGACTGCATTGCCGCTACCAGTCTCTCTGTGTGTGTGTGTGTGTGCATGTGCGTTTGCTTTTATCTCCCCATTTTAGCTGCCTCTCATGGAAAGTCTCGCACACAATAATTGCCTGACCTTTACAGCAGTGGCATTGTCTCATTAAGGCTGATGGATAATGATAGTGCCTCTGTCGAATGTGAACCTCGCTGATAATGAAACAACAGAGTAGCCCCGCCGCTCCATCTGGGGTCGTCAGATCATCGGCAGTCGGGAGGCATGTTCCCCGTCCTCTCCTCTCATACGAGTCCCTCACAAAAGCACACACACACACATACATTCACAGCGCTCGCAGACAAACACTGCAGCTCGCGCTTTTTATTCTCATCATTCCCCTCCATCCCAGAATCCAGTGCTGAAATGATCCGTGGAGGGGTTATCAGAGGAGAGCGCTGTTGGCCGCGATGACTATGACTCCATTCACCGTGTTTGCGAGCTGAAGTAAACAGACAGTGGACACACACGCTCTGTGCTGGAGGGGCCTGTGCTCTAGGGTTGCCCAGGGCAGATTGGAGGGTCGTAGGGTCAGAGGTTTTAGCCCAGGGTGTTACAAAACCAGCAGGGGGTGCTGACACTCTGGGAACCATGTTCAGCTCAACCCCACCTTCTTTTGCTCTTTCCCAATCTCATTCTTTCAACATTCTGCTTGTTGTGTCTGTCCATGATGGTCTGTGTTTGTGCAGTAAGAATAAAAACTGAGCTCTCAGGAAGAGACATGGAAACACTAAAAAAGATAATTTGTTTTTTAGCATTTTTTTTACGCATTTATGCATTTAACAATAAAAATACTAAAAGTATAATGAAAAGATATTATGAAATGCTTGCTGTTTATTTATTTTTTCCTCAAAAAATATGTACAAGAAATACTGCTTTACACATTGAAAGATTTTGTGAATTAAATTCAGAATGGGATTTTGAATGGTAGTTATGATAAAAGACACCACAATAGAAATGCATTGCATGCATGAATAGAATAATTACAATATATTCACAATGCTATTAATTTTAGTATATTAGCAAAGTGCACACAACACTGATTTGATTTTGACAAATAACAACGTTTTTAAATTATTATGACATTATTTTTTAAAATATTTGAAATGAACTACGTAATATATATTATGAGCTGAATCATAAAAAACAATATGTTGTTTATAATAAGCAATATTTTGTTCAGAATTTTACTTATGTTAATTGACCGTTTGTTAGTTTCTGTACACGCTTAAAAAAGCCTGGTCAATTATGAACTAACCCAACCGTTGGGTTACATTTTTAAATAACATTTTTAACCCAAAAGTTGGGTTAGTCCATATTTGACCCAAAGTTGGGTTGAAACAACCCAGCATTTTTTACAGTGTACATAGATTTTTTTTTTTCACATTGATAATAATAAGAAATGTTTCTTGAGCACCAAATCAGCATATTAAAATAATTTCTGAAGAATCATGTGACTGCTGAAAATTCAGCTTTGCCATCACAGTATTGAATTGCATTTTAATATATATTAAAAAAGAAAATTTACTTTAATTTGAAATAAAAGTTTACAACATTACTGTTTTTACTGCATTTCTGAATAAATAAATGCAGCCTTGGTGAGCAAAAGAGACCTCTTGTGAAAATTCTTACACCCAAAATTTTGAATGGTGCTATATGTATTGTTTTATAATTTTTAACCTAACATTAACAAACTCCTTAACTGAAATGATCTGCTTGAAAAAAACGCCA